CGTTTGGTACTGTACAATATAATGTAATTACAGGTGATATTATTACAAGTAATGTGATTGCAGGCAATTCAATTGCAGAAAAAATAACATTACAATTTTTTGTGTATAAGCAAAACAATGATTAAAATATAGAGAAGATAACATTGCAGCGTTTGGTTTACAAGTACTTTGCTGAGAATATAATGTTAATTTTCAAAATTACCCTTAGTTATTAAAATACAAGTTCAATATATTTATATTTTTTATTATTAATTTTTGTATGATATCATCTCTTAAATATATTTTTAATGTCATATATTTTATTTTTATTTATTATTATAATTTTATATATTTTATTTTTATTTCTTTAATATAATTTTTTATATTTATATTTTATTTTAAATACTTTTATCCATATTATATAAATTTTAATTTTTTATATTTTATTTTATTTTAATTTTTTATTCTTATATTATATTTTTTATTTTAATTATAACATTATAAAATATTTTTAATAAGGTAATAAAGTTGAAGGGTAAAAATATCTTTAAGAACATTGCAGAGTACAATGTAAGGTGATTGAATTGGTTTTGGATTGAAACATTCTTTGGCTGTAATGTGATTGTATTGTAATCTTACATTGCAATGGTCTGTTACAAAACAAACATTGCAATGTAATTTAATTGAGAATATTGTAGAGAATGAATTCTCACTTTCCTCATACCAAATGCTACCATAGGTAATTTGGCTTAGATATAAGTTGTAGCTCACCATAGATTTTAAATGTGTTCTTTTTAGATTTTATGTTTTTGGGCAAAGTCCAACAAATTATCTAACTACGAAATACCCTTGGCAACCAAATAAAATTCCTATGCCAATTTAATTTCAAAAACAAATTATTTGGATGTTGTAAGCTTAATGACAATGTTATGTCAATTATACAAAAACCATAATACTTAAAGAAGTTTTTAAATTATTTAAACAAACTCAAACGAGTCTTTATTTTTTTATTGTATTCAATCAAATTCTTATATGTTGATTTTGAATTAAATAAGTTTTTCTAATTAATGGTTGATTACTGTTATTAGTCAACATGCCACTTATTATTTTATATTATGCAGTGCTGATGCGACATATTTATATAGATAATTAGATGATATTATGATGTGGCATGATGATATGATTATGCGATATTTTTCATCTTCCGCATCAATACCACATGGATATAAAATGATAAATAACACTTTAACTAATAATAATTAATCAATCATTAATTATAAAAGCTTTTTTGATATAAAATAAAAATATATGAACTTAATCAAACGTAATTAAAAGAATTATAACTTATTTAAAATTTTAAAATAATTTAAATTTTTTTTAAGTATTATGTCAAAAATTAAGAGAGAGAAATTTGGAGAGTATAGGTTCTATTTGACGCCACTGATTTTATTAGTAGTGTATTTATTGAATAAAGAGTGTGTGAGTATCTCCAATCATGCAAAAGGCAGTAGGAAGAAGCTTGTGGGTGAATTTTGGGTGCAATCGTTCAAAATCTTGGTTGGCATTGACAGTTGCTACAACATGATATGCTGGACTTAAGTTAAATCCATAAGGTGGCGACACCAATCCATGACCTGTGGTTGGTTTGTGATGTATTATTATTTAGAAGAACGCATTTATTATGTCAAATTATCATCAGCTATGTACAGAAGCCTGCATTTTCCTGCAGTCTTTTCAACATCTCCTTCGTGTTTCACGCCTTTTACTTTTCTCCTTCTCCATGATTGAGCTTGGGCAAGGGATACAACTCTCATGCAGGCAAATGTGTTCCAAGCTCGCCACCAAACCAAAAGGCAAAAGCCAACCCAGCTTCACTCCCTTTGATTGATCTTCTCTCTATCTCTTTAGGTAAGACACTAAGAAGCAGCGACAACAGCCCCTTGTACCCAGAGGGTTATATACAAACACGAATAGTCATGTCCATTATTGCTTTTAAATGATTGGTCCTTGCCGGTATCATCATTTTTTTTTTCATTTTTTCATAAAAAATTATCAAACCATATGGGGTTTTTTTTTTTTTTAATTCACTTTTTTACACTCTAATTATTCAAAAGTCAACTGATTAGACAAGTAATGTTAGTAAATAGAATGGTGTTCCTTTAGTAAACCAAATAAATCATATGGCTCTTGAGTTTGTGATGGCAAGCAATTGAAGGGGGATGGGATGTCCCTCTTTGGGTTATAAAAACAGCACACAGCCCATCCAGGCACGCCCTTCCCATCCACCTAGACCTCCAAAACTTTCTGGTGGCAGAGTGGGGGCTCTCAACTGAAGTCTTGTCAAATTAATGGAATTTGGGTCAAATAAAAATATTAGGAACGGAAAAAGGAACTCTACTAACTAACTGGACAGCCGGACATGGACTCTTCCTTACCCACTCCTCCTACCTGCTTCTTTACTTGTTGGGATCCATTCCACCTTTGCCCTCTTCATATTACTACAAGCCCAAGATAGTATTTGCTAGGACTTAAGGAAAATATTTCTTTCTTCTTAATGTGAAGACAAGGAACAAAAAACAAATGAACTTACTCATCCAACATACAGCATGGCCGTATGTTGCTTACCTCTCTGCATATACTTTTCAGCGACTGTTTTCCATTAATTGGATTATAAAAAACAAAATTTTCATGTCGTAATTTTAACTGTTGTTCTTTGATTGGCTTAGTTTTGAAAGTCTATTATTTGATTTGTTGAAGTAATAATTCTTCTCTCGAAAATAATGAAGAACAATGGAAAGCATTGATGATTGGAAATGTCAGTACGTACTTCAGCGTTACCCTTCTTCCACACAATGTGCAAAAGAATGAATGAAGTCAAGATATCGTTGTTGTGAAAAAACATATTTAGAAAGCCAAACAAAGAATTACTCCAACAAAAATGCATGCCCATCAATATTCTCTCTTCTTCATAAATGAAGAGATAGGTCAAGCTTTTGATCATTGTCCTTATGATCGGCACTCCCCGCGCCTTGATTGCTATCCGCCATTGCTAGCCGCTGAGACAAGCCTCCATTGCATCTTATGCTCCTCTGCCAATTCAAGTAACTTTGCTCCTCTTTTTCAAACTGATGATCGTGGTGGTGGTGATATCCATTGCTACTCCCACCATAAAACACCACCTTGTTATCGAACCTGGCTGCTCCATTGGATCCGAATGTGTCTGATATATGGTGATTATTAGGGAAACAACGCAAGTTGGCAGCATGAGCTGTTATACACATTGGAGGGTGTAAAATTCCCAAATGGTGGCTTGCTGGTGCATAAACCATAGGCAATGTCGGAGAAGATGAGAAGCTGGTCGGTCCATATTCGGATGCCCGTTTAGCCTTTCTTGCTGCACTTCTTTCTTTCTTGTGGGCATTTTGGTGGCCTCCCAGCGCTTGAGAGCTGTAAAACTTCCTAGAACAGAACAAACGAGGGAAAACTCTTATTGTTCCATCGTCTACATTGGCTTGGGAAACTTTCTCTCGATGATCATCTTCCATGCCTATGGACAAATTTTAAGATTGCCAGAAGTCAGTTTTCATGCAGAATAAAATAAGACAGAGAAATATACAAATAATATAATTGAAAAGAGAAGAGAAGGAAATAAAACCTTTGATAAAAAAGAAGAAGAAAAGAGATGGGGTGGGTTGGGTTGGGTGGGAGAAGTGTTAATGGAGGAACTGAATTAAGAAGTAGCAAGGAATGCAACTGACGCAGCTAGCTTTTGGTGGGTGATCTGACAAAAAAAACAAGAGAGTTCAGAAGCCCAGGTTCTCAAGGGTTGGAAAATGTGAAGGCTCTGAGCATAATTATTAAATGGAGGGGACTGTATGGGCTCGGGAACAGAAGAGATAAGGGCAAAAGAGATAAGTGGGGAAGTATTCTCCAAGACGTTTCTGCATGCAGAGGCGAAGCGTGGCATTGGTGGGAAGAAATGTATTTTGGGTCGGAAAGTGGAATCTTCTCTTCTCCTCTCTCTGACAATTATCGTTTTCCAGACCATTTCTGTGTTCTTTTCTTCCTGCAACTTCTTAACTCTTGGCTTCTCAATTTTGCCTTGTCATCATCAATCCAAGGCAGGCGGTAATACTGGTGGATAATCAGCTTCTCTAATAGACAAGAAGACATTTCTTTCGCTGCCGGCCCTGTTACCACCAGCATTCGCATTTCGCATTGCAAGGGAACGAGGGGTAGCTTTGACTTTGTGCTTCATTGATGAAGGGCTAGTTTCATTTTGGCAAGCTTAAAAGACATCCACATGGTGGAGGTTTGGAGAGGCTTGTTAACGTCAGAGAGAGAAAGGGAGGGGGATGTGAATCAATGGAAGTCAGATTGTCAGAGGGCTGAGCTTGAGAGATGAGGTTTGTGATATTCAATGGCCAATGGGGAAGGATTGGGTGCCTTAAAAGCTAAAGTCAGTCCGCACTTGATCTGGAACTGAGCGGTGGGTGCCTAAATATTCAGCGCCCTTTCTCTCTCTCTTTCGGCATGCAAATTGGCTCTTGCGCTGCATTCCCCCGTCCTTTTTAAAATTTTGTTATGAGAGCAGCCCTCTCCACCGCCAATCCCATGCAATTTGTCGCTTTTCCATCCTTTCCTTGCCTAGCATTTTCTGGACCTAGTGTGGAGAACCCAATGCTCTTCAACTCGTCTTGGTTCCCGTGTTTCCGTACACGCGGCATCCGTCATTTGTTTTTTGGTTTTTTTGCCAATTCTTAAACTCAAACCAAGAAGATACATATAAAGAGATGCCCTGCTCTGAATGTGAAAAACCGAATTACTCTGGTACAAACACAAGACTAGCAACGATCAATTATGGCAAACATGTCACACCAAATTGAATCATCTGTAGATATGCTAACATTTTACACTCCATTCAAATCTGTTAGTAAAACTATAATCTGACCCACGCTTTGATTTCACTTCTTATGACACTATCCTTCCAAATTCTATAAAGATATAAAAGACTCAAACTCTTGAATAAAAAAATTGGGCCTTATTACCTTTGAGATAAATGAAAATCCGTGTTTTACACTAAATGTGTCTTGACTGTAAATATAATTACATTTCTGGAAACGGGGGTGGGAATTCTAGGAGAGGCATTCATAAGAATGTTAGATTCAGGCTTAGGAAAGAAAGCCCTATGGAGGACACCACAGAACACACAAGAAGTTATAAGGAAGAAACAAATATCCATACCGAGATTCAGGAACAACCAAAACATCTACTAACGGAGAATATACTGGATCGCTCTGGTGATGGCTGTGGTGATGGCTTCTTGCACGGAAGATGCTTAAAAAATGCTTTCACTGCTCCAGTCACCCCATCCTCATTCTTCATTGCCTTTGCAAGTTCAACTGCTTTCTCTTTCACCTAACATACTTCACTGTGAGTTCATGCCATATTTTCCAATATCCTTGTGCAATCATCACATTACAAGTTCTCCTAAGTTTCGGCTTTCAACAATTTTAAGGTTTTTTTTGTAAAAAAAATTTACCTGAGATCATCATGATAGAAACTAGATTTTAAATCAGAATCCCAAGAAGTTAGAATTTGGTAAATTTGGAGGCCTCAAATTCGAACTCAGAGCGTTGGTGGTACTCTTGAGATGAAAATGACCTACCTCTCTTTGTGCAACTCAAAAGCCTAAATAAGTTCCAACATACACCAAACCACAAAAGAAAAAAAAAAAAAAAAGGAGGAAAGGTACAAGCAAATAGCTGCTTGTGAAAACTCCCCAAGATCAAGCTCTATCAACAAAACTTTACTGGAACTTGGCAACAGTCCATCCCAACCACTGCCCCCCAGCTCAAAACAAACAAAAAAAGGAAACTACTTAAAAATTTAAACACAAAAAGAAAAAAACGCTCCATGGAATGTCCAAAAGAAAACAAAGGAAGCAAGAATGGCTAAATCTAAAATGCAAAAGCAAATATAAGTTGAACAACTCTGGCATCTTAAATTCATAGTTACCTTTGGCTCTAGCATAAAATTTATTGCATCAACCAACTTTGGAAGTGAGAATTCATCAACTGGGATGGGTGGGGGTCCCACTCCTCTGGCATGCACTCGCTCTCCCCAGAAAGGTTGGTCACCAAAGAATGGTACAATGGTTGTTGGGCACTAAAATTGAGAAGAAAAAAAGGGTGGATCAACAGGCAGATGGACATCAAGCAAAACCAAAAGCAACAACGATCAAAATATTTGTTCTTACTGCAGCTTTGAGACCAGCAGCTGTTGTTCCAGCACCTCCATGATGAACCTGAAAGCAAGGCAGTAAGATAAGATCTTGCCATTCAGAAACAAATAGCAGAGAAAGGGTTTGAGGAAAACTACTCTGTGAAGGCAAAAGTTGAGTAATATCCAAAAACTTTTATCATAGAAGTTAACTATTCGAAGGTCAACTACCGTGATCAAATACTTGCATCCCCATACCTCAGGAGCATGCTATATTGCTGGATGCTCTGCAACTTAAGTTATTTATATTTGAGCAATTTATTTTTTGTATTATGTGTTAACAGCAGCACTGGGCTTCTGCTCTAATCTTTTATAATGACTTCCCCAACCAACATATACCAAACTTCTTTGACATATGTGACCGTCATAATATCAAGCATCCCCAATACCTTAGATATCCATCAACATATATTTGATTTCCAAGACCCTCAATGTTTTACATTTTTTCATTTCAAACAAACACCACATATAGATTGAAATATCTAAAAATGTCAAGTCAACAACATATTGGTGTAAAGTACATAAAAATTATTAAACAAAGAAAACTCCATTGGTATGACCTCACTGAGAATCCCTAATATTTGCACAAGTTTCTTCTAAGATACAAAAAGGTTGAATAAGCTGGGGTCCACACTTCACCAAAGATAAAACATTGGTACCTCCTTGCCAACAGAGTAATCATCTTATACGCATTAATCAGAAAATGCCATTACAAAACAAAGTGTTTTTTCCTAAAGTAATCAGTCATATGTTATTCAGGGCAGAGCCAAAATGTGAAGTTGAAGGGAACCAAAGTGCGAATGGTATTTAACTTTTTCCCCTTTTTCCAAGATGAGAGGGTCAGGGGGCTTGGGGGAGTGGGGGGGGTGGGGGAGTGAGGAGGGAGATTTTTAAATTTGAAACCTTCAACGTCGAACTTGTATGTGACAAGTTTGATTTAGGATACAAAACTACGCGTTATGCCTACAGTGATAGCTCTCAAAGAAACTTTCCAATATAAGCTGGGGCCAAGTAATTGACCTAGCATTCCACGCCCATTCCAGTGAAGAGTGGTCAGGCCAGGAGTTATAACCACCAAATAGACACACAATTAATATATAAAAAAGCTAAACAGATATAATGAGAAAGAATCCTCAGAAACACACTGCACTCCTAATTTGTGGACTCACCACAGCCATGCATTGCAAGAACAGCCAATCATGAGGGACATTGTCCAACAAGTAAACAGAGTCCTTGGTTTCCGCCACTGAGAATAAATAAATTAAAGCTAAGCAAATATGCACACAAGTGCTAGGCCAATAAAAATTAATAAGGAGAAATCCTAATAAAGAAACATTCAAGATACAAAAGTAAGAAGAAAAACCACTTACAGTTACCAAGGCCACCCCAACCTTTATTAATAATACCCCTCTGTCCAGTTTTTTCCAATGCATCCACAATTATTTGGGTCATTTTTTCTGGTTCTTGAACCGGCTGAAAAGGGAAGAAGGAATTGTTCAAAAAAAAAAACATAAAATTTGAAGAAAATAAAAAGCACAGCAATATCATGTTGAGTAAGAACAATATTTGATAGTAACTTAATGGTGATATCCATCCACTACATTAAGGATAAAATTAGTCTATTATCATGGTTAATGAAATGGATCTCAATCTAATGGAAAAAGAAAAAACAAAATGCAGTCATTTATTACATTCAGCACGCTTTGCTTTATATTAGCAACACAAACAACTCATACAAAATTTGCAAGAAAACAAATCCTTTTCAAATCTTACACTTAACAGAATGGAAAAAACTAAAATTCTCTTGGAACACCAAAAAAGGGCACTTTTAAGTTCGGTTCCATGTTTATATTTCAAACATAGTATTCTTGTGCTAAGAAATTGTACCATGCTCCAGTAACATAAAGTGATAAGACAAAAGTAGCAACCAAATATTAGCAGAACCATAATACATTATAAACACACAACTTTAAACAAAATGCACCTCAGCCAGCAAAATAACAAACAAAATGTAGTAGTGCCAAGAAATTTTACCACGCCTGTCGTAGAAGAGCTACTTCAAATGATAATACACATTAGTCATTGAATGTTTAGGCTCATAATCTTGTACCTTATAATAATTGTCAATAAATAAAGTAGTAATGGAATTTCAGACAGCAATGTTATAGGCATTGATACCTTTCAGTACATAAGTCATGGTCCAAAATTCTACTATTATCTACGAATTTCAACAGCTTCTCTAACTAGCAAACTTGCAGATGTCTGGAGAAATACAATATAGAAAACCTCAACATAAGAATTTAAAGAGAAGAGTCTTTCCCTATCAAGAAGAAACAAAAAGGAAAGCTTGAAATTTAAAAAGAAAATGAGTGGGAAATGACCAAGCACAGCTAGACTTAGAATTGAGAATTTCAAGAAAAAATGGTTTTTTTTTAACCAAAACTTCCTTAATGGACCCATTGACATTGAAAACCAAGTCCTTAGTTTTAATTGACAACTGTATTGTATGACAAAACTTTACAACCGAGGCCATCTTAACATCCTTGATCTATCTTGCCATGTTTGATATCTTGATAGGTTTTTTGGCCTGTTAAAGGAAAGGAACCCCATCCCTGGAGAGCACACTTTAAGGTTTAATCTTTACTCAAGGCAAGCAGGCAGTTTACTCCAACTGTAATATGAAACCCCTTAGATAAATCTTAAATTTCATGTAATAAGTGGTCCCCAATATTTTTTTTTCATATAGAGTGAGCAACCATTTTGTGCTTTACATGTTAGATTTATTGTCACATCACACAGTAACAGATTTTAGAGCCTTAGTGATGTTCTCCGAGAATATGTCCCACAGTAAGATTCCCTCCACAGCACTACTAATCTTCTATTACTCATGGAAATAAATTCCTAGGCGTTTTTCATTAAGGCTTCACAGAAGTTTTATATGGTATCGCTAGAGGGGCACTAGCACCAAAGAACAAAATTGAAGTATAGATTAGCAGCAGGTTCCCAAGGAACACTACTGGAGCTTGAGGGCTAGGTCCTCCACAAATTAAGGGTTTCAACTTATTGTAAAAAAAGGAAGAGAGAGAGAAACAAAAACACCCTAAACAGGAAAATCAGTATGACTGGCAACCATTTTGCTATATACTTTAAAATAACTAGAATTTGTGCACACCCACTTCCTGAGTAAGAGAAAATAAAAGGTTTCTGTGCAGTAAAAGGTAGTTTTTTTCCTTTTGTGTGCATGCCAAACAAATAAATTAAATAAATGATATAACCCTATTTTATATATTATTAGGTTATTCGATTATTATGTAATTTAATCAACTAAATTAGTGTCACTTATAAAACACAGCAATTCATTTTAAATATTAGTATGGATTTGAAAATTATACTAATAACCAAAAACCTTTACATTGAGTTTCACAATACAAAGACAAACTTAAAATTCTCCAGTAGGCACAGCTAGAAATATATGATACTTAATAAGGGATTAATAAGCAATAATGACATAAGAAAACAAACTCACAAACTACTGAAAAATGTAGTAAAGGATAATGAGATAAGAAAACAGACTTACAAGGCTACCAAATCCAATATAAATAGGCTTTGTACCAGCTTCAAGCCACTTTACGAGTGATTCGGGAGGTTCATAATTTGTTGCAAGATCAAGAAAGCAAAATCCTACCACGTCAATCTTAGGACCCCAATCTGAAGGAGAAAAGTAGAAGTGTCATCCTTCCACTTGAAAATTCTTGCGAGCATGTAAAGTAACTAAGCAGTATATCTTTTCTTTTAAAGATACATCCTCATGCTTTATTACATAAGATGGACAGAATGTCTGAATGTGAACTGAGATAAAAAAATAAAATAAAATAAACTCCTACAAGCTTATATATAAGCCCAAGATTATATTAGTTTAAGTTTTATGCTCTGAAATTAGATCCTAAGGCAACCACCTTTTGGTTTAGGAACAAGGTGAGGACTCCATATATATCCGTGTGGCACATCGGAATCAGAGCCTTGGGAACCACTTAAATATGTGACTGGTCGCAGCTTCAGCCTTTTCTTTCTAACATCATTTATCATGTCCCGTATCCCAAGCCATATCAATGAGTCAACAATTTGATAAGAAAGCTGCAGCAAACACAAACAAGCAAAATGAGAAAAGTAGAAAAAAATAAAAATAAATAAAAACATATAACAAGATAAATATGAATAAACTTAACAGCACTCACTCGATAACCAGCTGGCTGCTTCACACGGGACAAGGGATGTGGAAATTCACTAGTTGGCCTGGAGGAAACAATAATGGATTGTGCAAAGCAGTCTAAGAGTCCCCATTAAACCATGTAATAGAACAACAGACTGATACAAAACAAGAAGAAATGACAAAATTGTAAACTGCTAGCTTTGGAGATGTTAAAGCAACATCTAACTCAGCTATAGATAACATTAAGCAGACAAGACTCACGTCCATGGCATCGTGAAAAATATATGAAGTGGTACTTTTAGTGCCTCTGCCACATGGGTATGCCCTAAAATGCATTGCCAAAGCTTGTATCAGAACATTGAACAGGGAAATATCAACATTAGAAAAAAAAATACTTTTATTCCAAAAACAACAAATAATAGTGGATAATAAGGGAATTCATGACCTTTTCCCACCAAACTCATTTCACAAATAGAGACAAAATAAAACAAATTCAGCACTGAAAGATTACCCATGGTCATCCAGGAAGCTAAAAGCAGAGTGCTAAAAGGAGTAAATCTAATATCCTTTCTTGAATACTGCTGAAAGACCTTAATGTATGCATGAGAAATAAATTCAAAGAACAAGATCCATAACAAATTGAAACCGAAACACCAGATCTTAGACAACTGCAATATTTCCATTATACGTACTCATAAACGCATACTTAAACATGTGTACACACCCATTCATATGCATACATAATGCCACTACAGCTTGAAAAGTGATAAAATCTAACCGTATGCTGGAGGATTAGCAATGATTGCATCCGCTTTAAAAGGGACACCAGAATCAGGATCAGGTTCTTTGCAAGCAGGAAGCAGAGAGTAGATAATTTCCTTTATTTGATGTCGTTGAGTAGGTATCTCAGAAGGGCCTGATGGCAAGAAGCCTTTATTTTTAACCATATCTGCTCAGGGGAAAAAAGTCGAGGGGAAAGAAAAGGAAATTATTAAAAAGCTTTTGCTGGAAATCCAAAACTTTTGTCAACTAATCACATTCAATTTAATTCACATATTGCATTGGGCGTACTGGACAATCTTCACTTAATACCTACACATTTTATATGAAGCTGTGTTGACACAATCTTAAAAGTAACAATAATTCAGTGCTTCACATATTCTTCAAAAACATCTTGCAATTAGTTAAATGCTTTGCAGGGTACTAATTTGAATTACATAGAAGGAACCACCTCAAAATAATCTTATCAAAAACCATAAAAGGTTACACCAGAAAATCATCAAACAAATGATGTGTTAGGTACATACAACCCGCAAGAACTTTTGGATCTCCGCCTAATGGATAGAACTCAAGCCCAGCAGTCAACACAAACTCTTTGAAATTTGAATGAGTTGCCAATCTTACACGATGGCCATATTCCTGCATGCAAAACATACTTTCCCATGGTAACGTTTCAAACAACCAATAAAAGGATTGAACTTAATTGTTTCATTTTATTCTTTTTCTTTTCATTGTGAAGCAGTGAGCACAAACTTGTCAGCAAATAAGCAGTAAGCAGAAGCCAATATGCAGTGTTTCAAAAAAAACAGATACCTTTTAGACAAAATTAAAACCTAGTACTGCTTAAGAACCATGTTCTGCACTTATACACCAACAAAAGGTTTCAAAAACTTTAAAAATTATTTTTTTCATTTAAAATATAAAATTGATCAGTAACGGTAAGCAATGTTAGATCCTGATCAATCCAGCAAACTACCCTAAATGATCATCACCCAAGTCCAACACTTCCTGAGTCTATAAGCAAACTGCTCACAACAGAGCTGCTTTCTATGAACTATAATAGATATTATTTTTTACTAGTTTACCTAAGAACATCAATGTGAGGAGCAAGAAGCATTCCCTGGCTCAATCTTCAATATAGAGAATTTAATTAAATACACATACATACATACATACATACATATATATATATAAAATAAAAACATACAAGAGTAATGATTCGGTCTTCAACTTACTGATTCAATTGAAAGTTGCTCCATTTTTCTAAGTACATGCATGTAACCAGAAGGCCCAAATGAAGTTACACCATCCCCCCTATTCCTAAATAAAACTTATTACTTTGTTTGGTTGGTTTTTTGTATCAAGGAAGAGCCATTCTCAAGCATAGTCATTCTTTAAAAATACAGAATAACTAATACCTTTGAGCTCTATTCCATGAATCTTGAAATAACTAATACCAACCCCCTCCTTGGTATTAGCTATTCCAAGTTTCATGGAATAGACTTCAAATAGTTATGGACAAAAATATCCCTGTTTATTATGTGATATTACTAACCCTATCATATAAAATATCATATTAATATTTTAATAATAAATTATTAAATTAATAATATTTTAACATAAAAGAAATTAAAAGAGAAAAAAGGAAAAATGAAAATAGATAAAAACTAAATAAGAAATTAAAATAAAAGTTATTTTAATATTTTATAACAAATTATTAATACTTTAATAATAAATTATTAAATTAAACATATTTTTAATATTTTAAAAAAAGAAATTAAAAGAGAAAAAAGGAAAATGAAAATAGGCAAAAAATAAAAAGAAATTAACATAAATATCATATTAATATTTTAGTAACATTTTATTAAAAAAGAAATTAAAAGAGAAAAAAGGAAAATAGAGAAAAATAAAAATCATATTAACAATTTAATAATAAAATATTAATAATTTAATATTAATTATTAACATTATTTTATTAAACAATTAAAAGAGAAAAAATGAAAGATTAAAAAAAAATAAAAAAATAAAATGAAAATCATATTAATATTTTAATACTAAACCTTCATATTTTGATGATAACATATTAAATTATTATTTAATAATAACATATTGCCAAAAAAATAATGAGTTTCAAAAACCTCAAAAAATTTTCTTAAATTAATAGTAAAGGGTATTTGTGTCATTTTATCACTTTATCCTTTATTATTCCAAAACTATTTTGTCAATCAAAAATTGGAAAGATGTCAAAATTACGATTCCATTTTATGAACCAAATTACATAATATCTCTTTTATTCTATTTCTACCTTATTCTACTTCTACATAATAACTTTTTCATTCCCCCTCTATTTCATTATGCAAACCAAAGACGTAAAGGTTTTAAACATACAGCCATATGTAAATAAATAGAAAAAAAATGAAAAGGTGCTCATACAAATAATATAATTTTCCTTACCTGGAGACGTTTGCCAATGGCAATAAATGGCTGCACATCTCCACGTGTGCCAACTATAACCATTACTATTTGCAGCGGTGGAATGTACTGAATGTCCGTTTCAAGTGACTCTTCATCAGCAGCTTCAGTATGTGCATCTCTCGGTCCAACGACAAGAGCATGGGGCTCAACATCTCCGGGAACTTCAAACTCCACAGTCCCATCATCTTTCACAGTAGCTATTCTGTTCAACAATTTAAGCTGCACAGGTTTATAAGATTTAATAACATCGCCAGGTACACAAGTCTCAAAAGATCAAGCTGTCACACCATCCAAGAAAAACAATCATCAAGGCAATCTGTAATAATGATCACTGAAATACCAATGATGATGACAATAACAATAGCAGCAATGATATTAACAACATAGGATAGGTCCCGATTATGGATTCAGCCTTCCCATGGCAATGAAGAGATTATTAAGTTATAACATTTAGATACATGTGAGTGTATGTCTGTATCTGTGCTAAATGCTAATCCATACTAGAAACATAACTTCTAGCCTTAAGAAGAGGCCAGGGAAATGAAAAAGGGACTCCAGAAAAATCTTCAAGAAACATCTTAAAAAATGCTTAAGAGTAGTATTTTAAAAAACTCAAGCACAGCTACCGATGTAAATAAAAGAGAAAGAAAAAGTATTTAGCTATAAAGTGTTCTTTTTCTCCTCCTTCACAGATGCAGCCCATCTATAGTAGATGATAGTATGTGGAAAGCACTCCATCACAAATTTTCCATCTCTCGCATGTTTTGACCCTTTTCATCTGTAATCCAACCCTCACCCACATAGATCAGAACCACCAAAGGCCAAACTAAGTCATGATTTAGCTCCTGTTCACAAAGATGGATATTTTTTCTTCTTGTGTAACAAAGTATCTCACTCTTTGAGCAAATTTCAAGGGTAGTCATTGAACTTATACCATTGTCCCACTTTCCTCACCAAACTTCAATTTGTGTCCATTTGGTCACTGAACTTTTTCAATTGTATCCTATATGGTCACTTTAACGAACTGCATTCAAATAAATGATGAAATGACGACACAGTAACCATTTAAGGAGTCATGTCAGTTTTTTTCTCTTTTTTATCTTCTCATTTTCTTTTTCTTTTTCTTTTTTCTTTTTCTTTTTCAATTGTCTTAATTAATTGCTAAGAGGACACAAAATGAAAATGAGAAGAAAAAAAATGAGTTACAAAAGTTGCCATGAATTTTTTAAATGAGTGGTTTTCTAAATGGCTATATATAATGTCATTATTTTGTCATTTATTTTAATGAATCATAACACTTTAAATACTTTATTGACCCAAATGGGATGATTTGAAGTTTACTAAGCAAAACGGAAAAGAGGTAAAACTTTAGTGACTATCCATGAAACTTACTCCACTCTTTTTGGTAAATGATGGAACCATTTCCATCACCTCATCAACAAATCCGTCCCATAACTTTCTAGTTTTTGAAATAATTTTTAAAAAAGTTTTCCAGCATATTCAGGAGCATATTTAACATATTCATAGTTACAAGTACAACATATTATAGTGGGAGGGAAGCCATGTCTGTCCTTCAAAATCCTTAAATCAGTCATCGATCTAGAAGAAAGAATTGAACCATTCCTCTTTGATCATTAGTTATTTGAGTCTTCCACCAAGACCTTAGATGGCGTTTGGTAGTTTACAATGCAATGTGATTACAGGTAATGTGATTGTAAGTAATATGATTGCAAACAATGTGATTGCAGCGAAAATAACATTACAGTGTTTGGTATGCAAGCAAAATAATGATTAAAATGCAGGAAAAATAACATTGTAGCGTTTGGTTTACAAGTACTTTACTAGGAATGTAATGTTAATTTTCAAAATTACCCCTAATTATTAAAATACAAGTTTAATGTATTTATATTTTTTATTATTAATTTTTATATAATATCATCTCTTAAATATATTTTTAATGTCATATATTTTATTTTCATTTATTATTATAATCTTATATATTTTATTTTTATTTTTTAATATATTTTTTATATTATATATTTTATTTTATTTTATTTTACCTATATTATATAAATTTTAATTTTTTATATTTTATTTTATTTTAATTTTTTATTCTTATATTATATATTTTATTTTAATATTTTTTATTTTAAGTATAACAGTATAAAATATTTTTAATAAGGTAATAAAGTTGAAGAGTAAAATTGTCTTTAAAAACATTGCAAAGTGCAATGTAATGTGATTGCATTGCAATCTTACATTGCAGTAGTCTGTTGCAAAACAAACACTGCAATGTAATTTAATTGGACACATTGCAGGGAATGTGCTCTCACTTTCCTAATACCAAACGCCACCTTATATGCATTTTGAAAACTAAAAAGTAAAAAGTTCCTAACATAGAATTATATAACTGAGACAAAATTAAGTCAACCAGCATCATGCCATCATTCTCCGAAAACATCTAAAACTAAAATAACAGTCATGCAGAAGAGAATCAATTGTGGTTCTATAAATATATATTAAAACAAGGGGGAGTGGTACAAGTGATTGATCCAGAAAACTTACTACCTTCTGTTGGGCAGATAACTTGTTGTCAAAAATCTGCGCTGCCTCTTCAGCAAGTATATTTCGAGGTCTTTGTGCCTCTGTTTTTGATTTTTCCAGTTTAGGCTGGCTTGAACCCAATTTTTCAATGTTTGAAGTGCCTACAAGCAATGTTCCAACCCCAGAAATATTTTTAAGCAAACAGCCTTAATGAAGAAATATAAGAAATTTAGGCCTGTACATTAATTTGGATTTTAATTAATGGCTGTGACTTCTCAGATGGAACAGAAGCAAAAATCAGAATCATAAAAATAGACCTGTCCATAATTTTGTGCATATGTGCATCTTTCTGTATGTCCATATGTGGGATATTTCTCATTTAGAGTTTTGATCTATAATAGGAACTCTTTTCTTCCAAAATAATATATATTTTAAAGGAAGTGCATATTTATTTATAAGATGGTCTGATAGGCACTTGGTCTTATTTTACCTGCAGCTGGACACCTTGCAATGAATTCCCTATGACCTTTCAAACTTATCTACAATATACCTCATATCAACCTCTAGTAAATAGCTGATTCTATTAAATAAGTTGCACCAAAAAGGCTACCAGGATCTCAACTTGAAAGGCTACACGTATTGATATCAATGCCTATTAGCCAACCTTCCATGAAGGCAAACCTGCATAATGTGGGAAACACCAAAAAACCTTGGCAGCATAGGCTATTTAAAGCCTCAAATAGAGGACCAACACCTGTAATTATCTAAACATGACCAAACCATCCTCTTTTCCCCATTAGTCATACCCAAATGAGACTTGAAGATGAAACAACAGATGTGATGATGGACTTCCTTGTCCTTGTAGGCAATGCAGAACAGGACATGACAGTCAAACTGCAAGGCTAATCTTTTTCAACGTATAAAAGGAAGACAAAGTTGAAACATGAAGTCCACATTCTTTGGCTAATCCACATTGGCTAACCTGATATCATATAACCCGTCTGGGTATGCAACTTTAACCAATCCTCCAGAATGAGCAAAACAAGCCAACACTTTAATCTTTTGTCATGTGAAATTCAGAATTTAGCAACTTGATTGGCATCATCTAGTTTTTAAAATATTAAGTATCATATCCATAAAAGTGTGGGAGAGAACATTGGCAATTGTAGCACATAAGTGATACATTTACAGTTTGTTTAGTGGGAGGAGAAAAGGGAATTAAGAAGGATAGGAGATAAAGGGGGTTACCCTTTACTAGTTAAGATTGCAAAAAATAAACAGAGGGGGAAAAGGGAGGCTCCTACTCATTCCATGCTTAGAGCATCCAATCCGTCCACAAATGGGAGGCTTGAAAGAAAATTTTCCACTCCTTCCCTTTCCTTCTATTTTCTTTCCTACCAACCACACAACATATTTGAAAGCATAAATTTCTTCCTCACCTTCCTAGTTTCCCCTTCCTTTCCCCTTTCCTTTCTTTCTTCTTTACTTCTAGCCGAACAGACATAGCATCAATTTCCTTTCTACTTAGATATCCATAATATATTTTTCCCGATAAAATATACAATCATTTGCCTTAAAAAAGTAATATCCAGTAGAACGGCTCTAATGCCTAAACCTATCACCCAACCTAAGATAAACTCCCAAACTTTAAATGTTTAAATGTGTAAGCCACTGCAGGGTTGTTATTGCAGACCACAAAGAAATATCCCCCTGATGAATGGCAAATAACACTATCATATTTAACTACAAAATATGAATAATCACAGACGGGTCATATGGCTAGAATTTCCAAATATACAAAATTCAAAGATAAAAGAAAATAATAAAATGGAGGAAGTCAAAATCAGGTCTAAATTTCAGTCAAACTACACCAAGCTAATCATCGTCAAAGTCCAGAAAGAAACTGTGCAATAAAACGTTATAATTTTGAATTGTATTACTAGAACGAAGCGAGGTTCGGAAGGGTAAATCAACGCACCTGAAGATTCGGCGCCACCGTTATTCATTGCACTGCGATAAACTCCAGCGCGAGAATCATCGCTACTGGCGACTTCCCTGGAGTCTCTGCTAATGTCCAGCTCTTTAACATCGATGCATATTTCTTGCTCGCTTTTCTCCGGAACTTCTTCGGAAGCAGAAGAAGATGTGGTGAAGGAGTTCCGGCGGTGCTCCGGCGACACCGCCATCACCGGCTCCGGAGAGCTCCCTCGATCGGCGCGGAAAGCTCCCTGTTCGTTTTCCAGATCGGCTCAAATTCGTTGAACAAAGCCTTACTCGTGATCAGATGAGCGTTTAAACGCGGGAATGTTTCTCCGTGAAGAATCGAAAGCCACGAGAGAGAGAGAGAGAGAGAGCGAAAGCACGTTCGAAAGCGTGGGGATGGGTCTGTGAAATGAGAATCTTTGGCCGCGGGGGCTTTGCCAGAACGCAACAAGCAAACAAGCTGTCCGTTTGAAGGGATATTTTGGTCAATTCGGTCTTCGTGAAGCTGGACTTAAGGTGTCGTTTTAGTGCAAGATTCTATTCTTCCCCCTCTCTGTCTCTCTTTTGTTTTGGAAAAGTTTAAATTAAAGACATTGAGGAGAAAAAATTATTCTTTCATTAGGCTTTTAGCATGCGCGATCTGATTCTGTGCCACTAATAATTAGCAATGAATATATAAATATGTATGAGAATTTTAGTCATTGTGCTATATTCTTTTCATATTTTCACAATTCATTTTCAAATTTCAATCCACTGGTATTTTATTTAATAGTTATATTCAATTTGATTTTATATTTAAAATTTATTAAGACCACGAGGAAAATCCTTTATTTACGGCTTTAAAACACATAATCTAAGCTTCAAAATTTGTTTAGATTTTGTTTCCACAAAATCTATTTAACTAGTGTAGAAAAACTAAATGATGCAAGAAGCATATGGTGAGGTTTTGGTAACCTAATCTGTATTATGTTTTTGACTAAAAACAGAAACATTATTTTTAGTTTTTTCTTAAAAAAAAAACACGTTTGATAATTTATCTGCTACAAGAAACTTTTGAAAATAAAAACATTTAAAATTTTTCCATTTTCGTCTGTCTTAAATGTTTAGACCTAACAGAAAAACATGAATATAGTTATTATAATTCCAAAGAAACTGATATGGAAAAAGAATAAATATTATTCTATCCAAGCGTTCAAAGTCTTCAGAAATAATAAATTAAATCCGAAAGATAAAATAAAATCAAAAAGAAAAAGAGAGGAAAAGAAAAAAAAACTTGCCTAAGGTGGATCAAATTTGAAAAAACTCGTCTAAGGTGGAAAAGCAAACAAATTAGATAAAAATTTAAAAAAAGATTTAAGGTGTAATCGTTGGAAGAGAGAGAAAGAGAAACAAAGAAAAAAAAGGGAAAAAGAGGTGGTTTGGTGTTAGTTTGATTAGAAATAAAAAGGTTTAGCTAGTGTCTTTTTTAAAATAAAAATAAAAAATGCAAATTGTTATGAATATTTTGTGAATATCTATTCATGTTATTTATATCTAAATTTGATGTAAATCAAATTAGATTGGGATATAATTCATCTAATTTCTAAGTGCTATCCTCATCTTATAAAAGGGTTATTTGCCTATGAATAGGCCCCCTTTAGTTTATTTGTATACACACTTCAATAAGATTTCTTCTCTCCTATAAATACTTTATTTCTTCTCTTTAAATATTCTTTCAAGTTATTTTTATTTGTTCTTATAAAGTTATTTTTTCATAACACGTTATCAGCACGATTCTCTAATCTCTCACCCTCAAGCTTCACAAAGTCGACGATTCTATAATCTCTTACCTTCACCCTCAAGCTTCACAAACTCGATGATTCTATAATCTCTCACCCTCAAGCTTCACAAAGTCGAAGTTCAATTTTTTTCAAGTAATTTTTTTATTGTCATTTTATTTTTTTGCCCAAATTTTACCAATTTCTAATAAATCAATTTTCATTTAATGTTTTTCATCAACCAATTAATTATTTTGCTTACCAATTATAATATTGTGTAATACTAACATTTACGTTCTTCTTTTAAACTATCAAATGTCAAATCTTACAAAGCTTGAATTTGTGGCTCTTGATATTACTAGCAAGAATTATCTATCTTGGATTCTAGATGCTGAAATCCATTTAGATGCTATGGGTCTTGGTGACATAATCAAAGAAGAAAATGAAGCATCTAATCAGGATAAGGCAAAAGTAATGATTTTCCTTTGCCACCATCTTCATGAAGGATTAAAAATTAAGTATCTCATAATAAAAGATCCTGTTGATTTTTGAAAAAGTCTAAAGGAAAGATATGATCACCAGAAAACAGTAATCCTACCAAAAGCTAGTTATAATTGGATGTATTTGCGATTGCAAGATTTTAAAACTATAAGTGAGTATAACTCAGTATTATATAGAATTAGTTTTAAACTAATATTGTGTGGAGAAAAGGTGACTGATGCTGATTTTTTAGAAAAAACATTCTCCACTTTTCACGCCTCACATGTGCTCCTGCAGTAGCAATATCGTGAAAAAGGCTTTAAGAAATACTCTGAACTGATTTCATGTCTCCTTGTGGCTGCAAAAAATAATGAGCTATTGATGAGAAATTATGAATATCGCCTAACTAGTTCTGCTCCATTTCCTAAAGTGAATGCGACATCATTTAAAAATTTTGATCATGATCATAGTCGTAATCGTAGACGTGGAAAAAGTTGTCATAATTATCGTAGTCGTGGTAGTTACACAAATTATTCTAATAATAAGAATACCCACCAGAAGTGGATGAATATTGAAGAGATACAAGAAAAGGACAAACATGGACAAAGTAAAAGGGATATAGAAAATGTTTGTTATTAATGTAGCATGAAAGGTCATTGGTCATGTACTTGTCGTATGCCAAAACATCTTATTGAACTTTATCAAACATCACTAAAAGATAAAGGAAAAAACATCGAAATAAATTTTATTGAAGATGATAGCCAAGTTGATATAACACACTTGGATGTTGCTGATTTTTTTACCCACCTTAAAGGACGGATTGATCATTTGATTGGTGATGGGAATCCCAATAATGAAATTTCTTAAATTATTTATTGATGTGTTTTAGTATAACTTTATTAGAAACTTGGCATGTTTAGTATTATTCTATTAAGAAGTTAATATATCTATTAGGAAGATTTTTTTTGTGTTTTAATAACAAAGTTTATATTTAATGTTCTCTTATGTAAATTTCTTACTATATATAATTTTTATTTTCTTGAAGAAAATATGGATATTCATCTAGTTAGACCCAAGATCAATGATAAAGATATATATCTAATAAATAGTGCTACAACGCACACTATATTTAAAGACAAGAAATATTTTTTTCACTTGACAATAGAAGAAGCTAATATCAATACAATATCTGGTAGTACAAGATTAAATGAAGGTTCCGGAAGAGCTAATATTTCACTACCTAGAGGAACAAGGTTTATAATAAAAGATGCATTATTTTCTACTAAGTCTCAAAGAAACTTATTAAGCTTTAAAGATATTCGTTTGAATGGATATCATATTGAGACAACGAATGAAAGAGGTACCGAATACCTTTATATTACATCTATTACATCTGGTAAAAAGTGTGTATTGAAAAAATTACCCGCTTTGTCCTCTAGAATGTACTACATAAAAATTAAAATGATTGAAACTTATGCTATAGTAAACCAAAAGTTTACTGATAATTTTAATGTTTGACATGACTGGTTAGGCCATCCTGGATCAATAATGATGCAAAAAATTATCGAAAATTCATATGATCATCCATTGAAAAATCAAAAGATTTTTCAATCTCATGAATTCTCATGTGCTGCATGCTCTTAAAGTAAATTAATTATAAGGCCATCACCAGCTAAAGTTGGGATTGAATCCCCTACATTTTTGACATGTATTCAAGGTGATATATGTGGACCCATACATCCACCATGTGAACCATTCAAATATTTTATGATTTTCATTGATGCATCAATAAGATGGTCACATGTGTGCTTATTATCAACTCGCAATTTGGCATTTGCAAGATTACTTACACAAATAATTCATTTGCGAACACATTTTTCTGATTATACAATCAAGACAATTTGGCTTGACAATGCTGGTGAATTTATGTCTTAAGCTTTTAATGAATATTGCATGTCAATTGGAATAAATGTTGAACAATCGATTAGTCATGTTCATACACAAAACGGTCTAACATAATCATTTATCAAATGCCTTAAATTGATTGCAAGGCCATTACTTATGAAATCCAAACTCCCAATTTCTGTTTGGGGACATGCCATTTTGCATGCAGCAGCACTTGTGCGCATCAGGCCAACGAGTTATCTTAAATTCTCCCCCATACAATTAGTTTATGGTCATGAACCAAATATTTTTCATCTAAGAATTTTTGGATGTACGGTATATGTTCCAATTGCTCCACCACAATGCACAAAGATGGGTCCTCAAAGGATGTTAGTGTTAGCTTTAAAATTATTATAGTTTTGATTTTGACAAAATGATCAAATTTGCTGGAACATTATTTGAGTAATCCTTGACAATTGCTTGAAATGATTTAACTCTCATGCATTTGTTCTTACATAGTTATAAGCTTGAGTTTTAAAGTTATTGAACTATATTTATAAGCTTGTATGACTTAGGTGTATGAGTGCTTATGATTCTCATTCATTAAAGTTTGATTTAAAGATTAAAGGAAAATTTAGATGCACTCATTAAGGGGGAGTTTTGAATATCAATTTTAATGATAAAAAAAAAGGATAGAAGGAAGACTAAGTTAAATAAAGTTTGATTAGTCTCCATGTTTAATTTTTATGTGTGATGCTTTGTTTTGGTTTTATTGAATATTATGTAAAGAAAACTAGATGTATTGACTAAGGGGGAGCAACTCATTGCGCATAAAGCTTTGAAGCATTCATGTTGACCATAGACATTGCACTATCAATCTAGGAGTGTTTTGTCATCATCAAAAATAAGAGATAGAGAATGATTGACTTTATATGTTTTTTATGATAGCAAAATATTCCCATTCATTGGCGTCTAATTATAATGTTTGAGTGTGCAAGACAAAAATATATGTCAAATAATTAATCAATCATTCAAAAGCAAAAATCAAAACTCATAAGAATAAGGAGCTATAAGTGAGTAATGAAACAAGAAGCCTCTTAGTTGGATAATCAAGGGAGTGGGTTGGATAAAACTCAAAAGAAAAGCTGGCAAGTTCAAGCAAATCGTGAAATAGAGAGCACTTAGTCAACCAAGAGATAGAGTTAGTCGACTAAGAGCTTACTATCAAAAACTGTGTTTAGAGACAAAAACAACTCAATCGACCAAGAAAGTTTGCCAGTCAACTCAGAGGGTACTGCCAGAAATGCTCAAAGACAGAGCCTATTGCCAGAAAATGAGTTCAGAGACAGAGACGACTTAGTCGACTAAGTGATA